CCATGGTGGGCCGGCTCAGCCTGCCCGACGCGCCCGGGCCGCTCGACGCCAAGCGGCCGCTCGACAGCCCCGACTCCGGGCTGCCCCCCAGCCCGGGCCCCGGCCCCGGCCCCGGCCCCTGGCTGCTCCCCGCCGGCGCCGCCCCGGGGCCCCCCGGCAAGGAGGGCGCGCCGCCCTGCCCCGAGGTGAGTGAGCGAGCGAGTGCGCGCGCGGAGGGGGCGCCGGGACCCGCGCGGGGGCCGCTTCGGGGCGAGCCGGGCCCGGGGGGGGGGGGAGCGCACGGTGCGCGGCGCCCCCGGCGGAGAGAAGCCGGGCTGGGACGCGGCTCCGCGGCGCCTCGGGATCGGCGCCGGCTCCCGGGCAGGGCTGCGCCCGGCGCTCCAGGGGAAGGCGAGCGCTCCGGCTCCGCTCCGGCTCCAGCTGCGCTCGCTCCGGTTCGCGCTGCTTCTGCCCGGCCCCGCTTCTTCCCGCAGCCCCACGGCGCCCCCAGGGGGCAGCTCGGCGCACTGGCGGCCCCAAATCTCGTCCCAGGGAGAGGGAAAGCCCGGCTCCCTCCTTCCTCTTCGTCGGTTCTCTCCGGGCTCCGGATGCGGGGCTTCCCTCCCCGATGTGGTTCAGGGTGTGAACGTCGGAACGGACAGTGAAAGCTTTTCAAAGCAGAAAATGCCAGATGCCCCATTTAAAAGCAATAATAGTAATAGTAGTATCACTGCGGTTGGCACTCCGACTGCTCCTTGCTGCGAGAATTCAGACTAGCAGAGCGCGACTCATGGGTGTTGCTATCCCGCAGGACCGGGTTGCCGAGCAAAGCACTGGTGCTTGCCCCAAGGGCCTTACAGTCGCAGTGCAAGGCAGCAGGTGGGTCAGGTGTGCCCCAGGCTGTGTGGGAGTTAAGCCACTGGCTCCCAAGTTCGCCTTGGATGCTTCCAGCGCGGAAGAGGAACAGGCGAGGCTGTTGGAGCACCAGGCGCTTGGGATGTGGCTGAGCGGCTTGAAGCCGGAGCGAAAGCGCTTCCTGTGGGGCTGAAGGACTGGACTAGCGGCTGGGGCCCGGTGGGATAGGAGGTCCCGCTCGCTCGCTCGCTGGGCGAGGACACCAGCCCGGCCCGTGTTGCTTTGTGGGGCTCCTGCTTCCCCCAGCGGCTCAGCCTTGACCTCGGAAGCCCGGCTGCACGCTCCCTTAACTTACGCCGAAGTAGGAATTGGAGCGTCTCAGTGTGTTAAGAGAAAGCCGCTTCGACAGGCAGCGCTTCTGGGCATCTCAGAGTTGTGGGGTTCTGTCCTCGTGGCTTCACCTTGGGACCACTTCTTGCGCAATTGCGAAGGATGGAAGGCAGACCCCCAAACAACCCCATTTGTGCAAATCTGAAGGACGTTTTATTTTTATTTATTTTTTAAGAATATCAATCTTAAATATGCACATTGGGTAAAAGGGCTGAAAAGGGGCTGCCGTTTTGCTTCTGAGCAACATTAACCTTGCTCAGAAAAGGGGAGCGATTGGAATGACTCTGGGGGTTCCTGCTTTGCTCCTTGTAGGATTGGGGGCAGGGGACTCTTAGCATTTGGGAGTATGAGAATCCACGAGGGCTGAACTGCAAAGACAGTGGGGAGCAAGATGGAGGGAAAGAGAAGCCAAGCCAAGCACCGTATTCTTCACCGCGTGTGGAGAGTAACATGAGTGCTCAGAGAAGACCTGTGGCTGCACAGATGTTCTTGGAATCGCAACTCCCATCGGAGCAGCCGGCAGAGTCAGGGCTGGTGGGAACCGTCATTCTGCTGCAACATCCCGAGGGCCACTGGTTCACCAGCCTTGTGCTGGGCGATCTTGGACTGGCTGAGCCCCAGTGACAGAGCTACTGGGCATGTGCAGAGTGCCTAACTCAGCTGCTAGCCTTTCGTGCCCGCCAGGGTGGGCATTATGGAGCTAGAGGGTCAGAGATGTGGTTTTTCTGGCTGTGTTCCCATTGTGTCTGTTGGTTTTCCTATCGTTGGTCTGGTCTCCTCCCTTTCCCACAAGACAACGGGACCATCCCATGAAGCTGACAGCGGGAAAATTGGGAGTGATTCGTGGAAGGAGGTCCTTTGCTGTGGAATTTCTTTGCCAGCGGCGGCTGCTCTCAGAGGGGACTGAGAGGGCTGCCAGTGGCAATTCTCCCAATGGCCTGCAGGATCAGCCACCCCACACACTCCAGCTGCTGGGGACCATGAGTGTGTGTGTGTGAGGGGGGCGGCGCTTCCCTCCTGTCCTCCTCGTGGGATCGTGCAGGCAGACCTCCGGGCCTTTCTAGCTCCCTGACGTTGTTTTCCCTCTGTCCGTGTCTCAAGAAGTTCCGTTCCCTTTCGACTTTTCCAGGACGCTTCACTTTCTCTCCACCCACCACCTGGCTGTGCCTTGCGGTTGTGCCCCCTGTCCTTCGGCGAAGGAGTCGAGTTCGATCCGTTGCCACCCAAGGATATAAGGTAGAAACGCTCTCTTGACGCTTGTCGGTCCTTTATAGTTCTCATCTCAGATGGATTAAGAGTCGAGACTGAAGGGGACGTGTGTGCGCGTTACGGACTCGCAGAATTTCTCAGAGCAAGTAACCTGATGGGGAAGTTTGCTTGGGTGACCTTCCTTGGCACAGAAAAAGCCCTACAGCTGCTTGTGAGAGAAGCAATCACGCAGAAAACACAAGCATTCTCAATTAAAGCAAAGAATCCTTTTAGTTACACTCCCAGGCCTTTTTATGCCCAGTCTCAAAAGTTTGAAAAATCAGAGTACATATTCCATAATGCACACACGCTTGAAGCTTTTCGGATTGGAACATTTGCCCGGATGGGTAATGTTGGATATTCTCCGTGTACGGAGCCGTCAGCTCGCTTGCATGTGAAACTTCCCTTACAAAGACGGCGTGAAGGTGTTTTTCATGGCACGGTGAACAGGAAGTGGGTTTTCAGCTATGGATTCGAGTAGATACTAAAATAAACTTGTTCTGAGAAGAGGCTGTGGAGTGAGTTATTCCGGAAGGGACGCAACTTTCCTCCTCTACGAAAGATTTACTGTGCACTGAATAACCATTTTAGGAATAGGATTTGTTTCAAAATCATTATATGCACAGGGATATGTCAGGATGCGACTTGGGAGGAGAAGCGACTCTGAGCCTTGTGAAAAAGCAAATGTTGTTACCCCACAGTAAAAGTCAGTAAAAGATGCAAGGAAATTATTTGATGGGCTATAACAGGCAGTGAGAGGCAGTGTGGCGTAGTGGTTAAGAGCATGGGACTGGGACTCAGGCGATCCGGGTTCGAGTCCCCGCTCAGCCATGGAGGCAACTGGGTGACTCTGGGCCAGTCACAGACTCTCAGCCCAACCTGCCTCACAGGGTTGTTGTTGTGGGGATAAGATGAAGGAGGAGAATGATGTCAGCTGCCTTGAGCCCTTTGCAGGAAAAAGGCAGGATATAAATCGAAAAATAAATAAATAAATGTCGGCCGTCTTTCAACCTGATGGCCAAACTCAATTTTGCAGATACCCTGGTGAGGCCAACGGCTGGGGCCAGGATCCCCAAAATAAATAGCCTATTTTAGCTTAAAGGACTTGCTTTAAGGAGGCATTTGGAGCAGAGCTGCAAAACCATAAAGGGTTGCTGGCTGGGGAAAGGGCCATCCGGAGAGTTCAAACCAGATCTGCGGGCCAGAAGGTTCCCTGCCTCCATCTCCCTGACCCATGCGCTAACCATTCTGTTTCCACTCCGCTCCCAGGTATACCTCTTCAGTGAAATATGATTCGGAGAAGCACTTCATTAATAATATTTATATGCCGATGGGGCTCGGCATGTCCTCATGCAGCCAAACGGTCGTCTGCGTTCCCAGCAGCACATGGCGCAACTACAAGGCCGAGGTGCGTTTCCGGCCGCGCAACAAAGCCCAGAGTTTCACCAGCACCACCATCATCTACCCCAAGCACACCAAGACTGTGTACACAACCACACTGGATTACAACGGCAGAAAGTCCACGCAGAGGTTCCTGTCCAGCGTGGAGCTGGAATCGTCCGGGAAGGCTCGTGAGCTCCAGGATTGCTGACCCCCCCCCCCCCCCCGCTGCAGCGCACTCTGCGTCTTTAGCGCCTCAACTCTCTGCCGAAGGAAAGCGCATGAAGCCTTCCATAGTTTTGCCGACTCAAAGGAGCCTTGTTCAAAGCTACCTCTCCGCCAGGGTGTGCCTCCGACCTTCAGGACTCCATCAGCCTGCACTTAAGTTTGGTTTGTAGGGATGCAAACCCTCTCCGAAGGAAAGCTCTTCCTCTTTCGAGCCTTAATTTTTTGGTTTGAGTCTTTCCCCAGTGTGTTGAAATGAAGAGAATCTTTCTTTTTAAAGGAACTTGGAAGTTGCAGCTCTCAAGTGAAAACAGTCCTCGAATTGAATCTCTGACCCATGGAAGCCACGTTGCCCCTGCGTCAATGAACCTAAAACCAAAACCCAAAAATCTTTCCTCCTTAAACCTCCCAAAACAAGCATCTTTCCTTCTTAAGCCCCCAGAGCCCTATTTATTTAATCTTGTCTCCAGACCTCACTTAAGAAGGCCACTTGGTGCGTAATCCACAATTTTAGATCGTCAGCTTTTCCCAAAATAGTATTTCTACCTACTTTATTCTCCCAAGGAAGCCTTTGAAGAAATTAATCTTGACCAGGAAGGACAGTCTTGGAAAAAGGATCTGTGTTAAAGCACAAAAGAACACTTGTTTATTGGTCTCCCCGATACATTTAATTACACAAAATGGTTGTTTTTGCTTTTCACTTCCGACACTATGAACTTGTCTAATGGTTTTCTCCAGGGCTCCATCTGTGGTTGTTTGCCTGAACCTTGTAACATTTCAACAGAGAAAAGGTCATCTAGGTATCATCAGGAATCATTTTTGAAACATACGCAAAACAAGCCAGAGCATCCCCTAATCCTCTCGGAGAAGCACTCGGGACGCTACAAAAGAAGACAGCACAATTTTATATCATCTTTCTTTTAGATGTGACACTGTTTAGGATGTCTGAAATCCTGAGAAGGGCCAAAAAATGTTAAGGAGGCAATCCTATACAGGCGTAGACCGAAAAAAATTCTGTTGGCGCTGCAGAATTTTTTCTGTCTAAACACGGATAGGAGGGCCCGTGCCTCTGCATTTTATCATCCAAATTGCAAAAGTTCATCTGTATCGTTTAGCACCAGCATAAAACCAAGCGTGGCGAATGCCCACCGTCTGTTAAGAAGTTCTGCAGTCGTGTGTTCGGTTTATAGTCTTGGTAAATTTGGATAAACATTTGACGTCGAAGTGTTTGGGTTAGGGGCAGGCTAGCTAGTGTCATTTTCTTGTGGCAAATATGCTCAGCGTTTAACTTCCGTGGCCCACCTCCGTGGAGAGCCGGTCCAATGTTCTAGACCAATTTTGGCCACAGGTTGCTAGGAAATCCAGCCCCACTCCGCCAAAAATGGTCCTTTTCTCCACCAAAGATGGTCCTTTCGTCTTCTCGCTTTTCATTCTTTGTGAAGTTAGACCAGTGTTGAGTCTTGCAGATTTCTGTGCTCTCCCTTCCTAACAGCCAGTCTGTGCTAACGCATCTGTGTAAATTTCAGGAAGGTTTGTAACCTATTTAATTTTTTGGATAGGAGATCACTGATGAACGTAAACAGCCTTACGGCACCTTAAAGAATAGTAAACTTATTGTAGCACTTGCAAATGGTGTGAAAAGGGGGATTTTTAACTTCTTATTTTCTAAAACAATTCATCCACAAGGAGTTTTGTTAACTGCTATGTTTTTCCAAGCACTTTGACCGACTATATATGATATATATATATTTAAATGCCATTTTTAAAATGTTGCTGAAATACCAAGCAGTGGTTTTGGATGTGCCTGGAAGAAAGTGCCCAGGATTGATGTGATTGGAAGTCTGTTTTTGGAAGGAGTGTGTGTTTTGAGTTTGCTGCCTCTGTGAATCCCTCAAAATGTTCCAGAGGCGAGAAAAAGGGTCCCGCTTCTGCTTAGGCAGATGCAGTTTGTGGCTTCTCCAACCCGCTGCCTTCCAGATGCTTTGGACTTCAGCGCCCTGGCTGTGGGTCCTGGGAGTTGTAGTCCAAAGCATCTGGAAGACACTCTGTTGGGAAGGTTTCTGGCATGCAGGGCCAAGTCCTTTGATCAAGTCAAGTTCTTGGAAGTGTGATTAATGAAAGTGAGAAGGGAGTTGTGGCAGGTGAAGGCAGGACTGCCGCGAGGCAAGATGGAAAGCTTCTCGAGTTATTTATTTGTTAGAATATGTAGTGTTTCGCTCTTCAGGGGACTGGAGTTGAGAGAGCTTCGCCCCAGGTGGATGCACGGAGTTGGCTGCAAAGACCTTCAAAGCAGCTTTTCAGCGCTTTCAGCTGGAACAGAACTGTTTCCAAAGAGCCGGGCACCCTGTACGCAAACCGTTTGTTTTCAGCGTAGGGGGCAATCAGATCACGCAGCCACTGCCTCATCACCGAGAAACGACGGGTTATGTGCTATCCTGAGCTCTGCTGAAGGAGTTGTTCGAAGGCTCGGTTGAATCACCGGCTTTGTGAATGGAACAAGATCTGGGGGGCCTCTTTGGCCAAGCTGAAGGGAGACGGGGTGCTGAAGCCCAGCCCTGCTGGAGGGCACCACCTGAGAGAGCAAAAAGACCACGGAGGCCCCTGGTTGTAGGCTGGATGCTGGGCTAAGGGGGTCCCTGCTCAAACCCAGCCATTTAGCCTTAGGCTCTTTGGACGTGTTGTCACGAGAGAACGCTTCCCACGAGGTAAGCCACCAAGGGGCTTCTCAGGTCACTTAACATCTGCGCCATTTGGGGGATAATTCTATGCATGTTTACACCTCTGCAAAAGAATTCCCAGCAACCCGTGTTGTCTGGAGTACGGTAGAACCGAAGGGCTTTTTTTGCCTGTATAAACATGCATGCGATTCGCCCCACAACCTCTTGGGGATGAACTCTGGCGACATCATATCCAGGCTGTGCATGGGATTTTTAAAAATACATTTTCACTCTCGCTTCTCTTTATTCTAAACATGATTCTTACATGCCTATCTATCTATGTACTTCAGAGTTAAAATGAGCAGAATGTTTAAACCCCCCCTCTCCCCGCATCCTTAAATGATTTTAAAGTTAGCTGCTGGCGTCGTGTTTTTGGGAATGGCCTTCGTCTTGCCATGCGATGTCTTACAGGATTCCTCACCCCATGACTGTTCATGATTTGCTTTTAACTAATAAATTATCTGAATAACATCATCGCCAAGATGCGTTTTGTGTTACGTGAAGCCGACTGAACTGTGGTACGGTAGGCGGCCCGGGGCCGTGGCTTCTGCTGTGGTCTCTGAATACAGAGGGGAATTATTCCTGAGTCCTAGGAGTGATGAATCAATAAAATTGTAAGGAATGGTGGGACTTGCTTATCTTTGAAGTAAAATGTTTGCCTCGGAGGGGCAGGAGCTGAGCAGGCAGGAGTTTTCGGTGGGGTTCCATTGATAGGGCTGCCCTTAGTCAGAATTGCCTCGATGGCCCATAATGACGACTCTCATTTTTCTCTTATCCACTGGATACCCAGGCAAGTAATTTTAAATCGGAAAATGAAGGTGGTTTTTTTCAATGAAACCTATGTAAGGTCTCTCTTTTCTGGCTTATTTTGCAATTGCATACAGTTAAAATATAGTTAAAATCGAGGGGGGTTGCTTCTAAAAAGAAATGTATGGATTGCGATGTAAACATATTCTTGCTATGTGTCGAGAACGTTTAACTTCCGGAAAAGCCCATTTCATGGTTTCCTAGAAATGTACTCCTTTTCTCTCAAATGTGTGCTGTGGAAAATACAAAGTCATCCCTATCAGATTAGTACCAATTAATCACTAAAAATATCCCTGTGTTTTCACTTAGCTGATCATAATATATCACTCACAAAGATTCAGCGATTGTTACAAACATCTCAAGCAAAGGAACCCTTTCCTGCGAGATTTTGATGGCACTCAACTCTCAAAGCCGCGAGGGAAGGCAGGATTCCCACTGGATGGTTTGGGGCCAAGCTGCGAAACGATGCTTAATCCCAAACGGCACCCGAGTCCTATGCTAGTGGGGGAGTCTGGCTTAGAGAACCAGCATGCGTCCTTCGGACTTGTAGGCAGTTAATGTTGCTTCTCAGCCAGATCACCGGATCAAATATGTAACCTGCGATTGTCATGATGGGGGTTACATGATGTGCCCCCTCAAAACAGGTCACAAGAGGGTGAAAACCTTCCTGCAACTCCTAGCTTTTTGGCCTGTGTGCCAGGGTCACTCTGCTCAGCAAGCAGCCATCTTGCAATCCTGAAATTTTCAGCATTTCCCCCCAAAATGTTTCCCTTTCCCCACTTCCACGTAACACCAACTGAAGGTTAGGCCTGGTTGTTTATTCTCTCACCGTCCACACAGAATTTGATCAAAGAGAAAATGCTTGTGTACGAGCAACCGCTGGGTAACCTCATAAAACGACGAATAATTAATCCCATTCATTTCCAAGGTACAATTTAGAGTTATAGAGGGTCTGCATCTTTGCTTTAAAAAAAGGAAACCACAAACGTGCCAGTTTCACGCCATTTCCTGAGAAATACTTGGTGGCAGCCCCAACTGCCTCTTCGAAACTTTGGTCGTGGCCTTCGGACTCGGTGTGTTCGCTTCCGATACTGCAGGAGAGGACTTGCTTCTCCGTAACAGCAGCTCTCCAGCCGCTTGTGCGGGTTTGCAGAGTCGCGGCAAACGCTTCAGCGTGAAGGACGGCGCCGGGGGCAGGTTTTGCTGGATGTAGGCCCCGTACCGCTTCCTTCTGTTTAGTCTATAGTTCCACATTCTCTCCGCTTCTGCAACGGGGTCTTCGAGGATTCCCTCCCAGCGCAGGCTCTCGGCCGGACCCGAGCCGCCTCGCGTCGAGAGTAAAACGGAGGGACTGGAGGGGCTGAGCAGGTCCCGTGTGGCTTTGCTTGGGGTCGTCGCCCGTGTCGTGTCCTCTTGAGGGGTTTCATCATTGCTGTGGGGCTGCGGCAACTCCAGGGCTGATTTCACACGGACTGGCTGCTTCCTGCTTTTGCTAGGCTGTTTTTCTGTGCCAAAAGAGTGGAGTCGAGAGAGTTTTCATTTGTTTATTTACACTTTTTGTATCCCACCCTTTATAGTGTCTCAGAGTTAACCAGCCCAGTTCTATTTACTGATTTATTTATTGGATTTACAACCAGACTTTTTTTTTAAAGATTTTAAAGCAGCTGCCGTCGTTCTCCTACTGTTCTTAACCTTATCCCCACAACAACAACCCTGTGAGGTAGGTTGGGCTGAGAGTCTGCGACTGGCCAAGAGTCACCCAGTGGGCTCCATGGCCGAGCGGGGACTCGAACCCAGAACCTGTCATCCGAAGTTCCTCTTGGCTTAGCATCACTGTTGCTGCCGATTTAACTGCTCAGCGTTCTGTACTGGGGACATGGGGGGAATTTAAAACGGCTCTTGCCATCTCCAGGGAGCCCCCCAGATTGTTACTGGGCTGAGCTGGCCCGGCTACCACGGCGAGCCACTGGTTGCCCAGCCTTACCCTGAGCTGCTTTCTTCTTCTTTTTCTTCTTCCGCGCTTTCCTCTTGCCGTGCTGAGGCTTGGGCGGGGGGTCCTTTGGCGGGGCCTTGCCGGTGTTGGCTCCTTCCCCCTCAGCTGCAGGTTCTGGCTGGAAGACCTCCATCTGCCTCTCTCCCCCCTGCGGCTTCGTGGGCTGCTGAGCCTGAGCCTAAGAAAGAGGGAGGGTGCTGGGGGAGGGGGGCTGTCAGGGCCCCCCCCACACCCCACAAAAATCCTGTGCATCGCGTTTTGCAAAGGATGCTGGCCGGCCCCCTTCCTTCTCCAGTAACAGCCCACAAAGCACTTCTTGTGCCTCGGTTTCCCCACCGATCCCAGCCATGGCTGCCCTCCCCCCCACCCCATGAATTGCTCTTCTCCTTGGCAACCCCCCCCCATTAACAGAGCTCCCCTAAATATTGCCACTGGTCCCCCTCCCCCCCACACGCACATTAATGGCTTCCCCTTTCCCTTGACATTAATTACCCCTCCTTGTTTAAGGGTCTCACTCCCCCCAGTGATGCCATCACCCCCCTCCCCCGGGGGGGCCCATCACCTCCCTCCCCCCCGTAAATCGCGGCCTTCTTCCCTCGCCTCCCATGAATGGCTCACGTCCTCTCGGGATGCCCCCCTGCCCCCCCAGCCCCCCAAATCCCCCCC